GTACATTGTGTGGTGTCTGCGTGAGGGGTGGTCAGGCCGGAATGTGGCCGATCACCAGTACGTATGCGGGGTTGCATTGCTCCCCACTCTGTTACCGTTTTGGCTCATTGCCTCACTCCGCACGGGCCTCGCGGCCCGGGGAGCCAGCTGCCTTGCTACCCACCGTCTTCAAACGGCAGGACCACCCGATTCTAGAGCACAAGAGGGCCCACCTCGCAACGAACGAGCAAGCACCCCGATTACGCCCGCCGGATTCGGCGGAGGGGCCATCGGCCCAACCGGGTGTAGGCGGATGAAGTGGGACCGCGCGACAAAGGGGACCAGTGGAGGCCATCAAAAAGGGCCCCGCAACACCATCAACAACTATTGGTTTCCGGAGTTGTTGGGGTTGCCCTGCCTTGCAGCACTGCTGTTGGAGTTCATCCGGCTTCTCCACCTTGGATGGTGGGCGTATCGGGGGCCGTCGTTTCTATTGTCACACAGTGGGCCCAATTCTTGACGGGGATCGATTCCTGGGGCCTGCTGTCAGTGAGAGGTGGCAGCGCAATGGTGTGGCAGTTTGCTGGCTCGCGGAGGCCAAAGAGCGGGCCAGAGCGGTTACACGATTCACAACATGCGCGCGCACAAATCCACATGCGCGATGCCTGATCACAGGTCTATCGCTGTCACATCAAGACAAGACAACATAGTGCACATCCAAGCACATTGTCACCGTCCACCATTCAGCTACGATCAACAAATTGTCCTCTAATTCCAAGCATCTAACACCTGACCCCTACCCCTAAGTACTACAAGTTCAGGAGGCCATAACTTTGTCATTTCTTAATGGAATTAGGCGTTTAAAAGTGCGTTGGAACCAAGAAGCTCTAGATAGTAGTCCCAAAGCTTGATTCACCAAATTATGTAATTCCCAATCTAGAAAATGTCAATAACTGCTCAACCCCAAAGTAACCACGTCACACATGGCCTGACCGACCTACATGTCCACATCACCCACACTGAAGGCTACCAAAATCTGCACGCTACAATAGACCAGTAATTTATAATATTAGTATGTGTTGGTGGGTGTTGGTGCGTGTTGCTGTATGTTGGTGTATGTGTATTCATGTATGCTGCTACTACTATTGTTGTTGTTGTTCAGTAAGTGTTTAATCAATACTATACATGTGTCCGTATAATGGCAGGGTCTCCTCGTTGGTCAACCATATACATGCCAGTACAAAACACACTGCTGAGCTGCACACACTGCCAATGGAAATAATAAGGAAAATGACATAGTTTTTAGTGATGATGAAGGGGTGTTTGCATCAGAGGTGCCCTTTTAATGAGACGGATGAGCAGAGCAGGGTACCCAAGCTATGCAAAATACTCCAACTGGTCAAGTCCATGGAGATTCGATGGAATAGTACCTTTTTTACGTTGGAAAGGGTTGTGCACCGAGAAAGGCTATCAACAGATGGTTTGGGCTGCATCTCGCATACAAGGATCCCATCAAAATTACACATTGGGGGTACTAGAGGCCCTCCTCCCAATTTGGCATTTGTGAAGAGGTGCAATAAGAGGCTCGAGGTGGAGATGTACCCCACGGGCTCCAAGGGCTTGACCAAGCTGATGGACCTCTGTCACTTTTTATGTAACACTAGCAATGCATACGACAAGAGGCCATACAATGGGTTGGTGCCATTCTGTAGTGATATGAGCCAAAAGCTAGAAGAGGGGCTCAGAATGAGCCTCTCAGTAACCACATATGGGTCTGACAAATGGTCTTTTTAGCTATGATGGATCTTACTGGTGAGCGGTCATTGCTCACCGCTCAGTGATGGCGTTATTGGTATTTTGTATTGTTTGTCATCATGTTGTCATTTATATAATTGCATATATATGAAATGTGTAGAAGCAATGCTGAAGGGTTGTATGGTGTTTGTTGTGGCCCTGTCGGCAGCCGCTGGTTTTTAGAGGCGTTGGGGTCGCCCTGCCCTGCAGCTCAGCTATTGGAGGTCAGCCGGCCCTCTCCACCTTGGATGGTGGGTGTATCCGGGGCAGTCGCTCCTGTGGTCGTGCGGTGGGCCCAATGCTCGACGGGGATCAATCCCCGGGGCCTGCTGTCAGCGAGTGGTGGCAGCACAGCGAGGCGGTGGTTCGCTGGCTCGCGGGAGGCCAGAGAGTGGGCCAGAACGGTGTTACACGGATTCACAACATGCGCGCATACATATCGCATGCGCGATGCCCGATCGCGGGTCCATCGCTATCACATCAAGACAAGACAACATAGTGCGCGTCCAGGCACATTGTCACCATCCACCGTTCACCTACGATTGACCCATTGTCCTCTAATTCCAAGCGTCTAACACCCGACCCCCTAGCCCTAAGTACTATGACTTCAGGAGGCCATATCTTTGCCGTTTCTTAACGGAATCGGGCGTTTAAAAGCTCGTTGGAGCTCCAGAAATGTCAAATAAGCCTAAACCCCAAGCAGCCACGTCACAGTGTGTGTGCAATATACGCTTGGAAGATACCCCTGCATGTATACATAATGCTCTTGGATCCCATTAGAGAGAAGCTTGTGTCAGTAGATGCTATAATGGAGGACATGTCCATTGAGTTATTGGAGTTGTGCCTTAAGTTTGCGAGGGACATTGGGTGGTCAGTGGTATCGGGAGAAGTAAGCCTGCAACCCCATCCTAAACAGCAGATTGTGCCCAAAAAAAGGGAGAGGCACATGGGATACAAGATGTTTGGTACCAGTTTGGAGGAGGACCAATATGGATCCACCCGAAGAACCGTTCGGACTGGGATTTGAATCCAGGGTCACCATGGCAAGCCATACCGGTTTCGTCCTGCTCCACCAGGACTCGTCAGTGGCTTTGCTTGGCACCTTGGGCTCAGGGTATTATACCCTTTATATGAAGAACAATGATAGAAGGCGGGGTCAGGGCCCAAGGGCAAGCTGTGCTGCGGGGCCTAGCCAACGACCCTCCATTGCATCGGGTGGCGAACTGATGGATACCACACAACGATTGATCGTGCAACACGTTCAAGAGTTCTTAATAGAATGCTAAAGTTTATATGAGCCGGATGCCCCACGAGAGCCCAATGCGTAGATTATTGGGCAAGGAATAGTGGTCGATGGCCCATAGTGGCATGGGTGGCCTGACACTCATTTTGTGTATCTACACTGAGTAGCATGTCACAATGTGGCTTCTCAGTAACCGGCCATACTGTGCAATCTCGGCGGGCATCTTTGGGGGATCAACGCATTGAGTAGCTCACATTCTTGTCTAGCAACACTGACTTTTAATTTTGGGGGGTGACCTGGGCTTGTTTCGGACTGGTCTATTGATATGTGTAACTTGTCTCAATTTTGCCTACATGTCCAACTTATATATTAGGCAATATGCATGTTGCTTTTGTTGCAAGTGAGGTTTTTGTACGAATTGTGTCTTTTTGGCTTAAGTCCGGCCTTATGAATACCTCCCCAAACATGCGTTGGTCTGCTGGTGCCTCCCCTCCCTTCTTGGACTTGTGAGGGCCCCAATTCGCATGGTCCATTTTTGGGGAACGGATTGAAGTGAACCGGAACGGACAAGAACAGAGCCGTTTCATATCAAGAACGGACTTATTCCATGTCAGGAACGGATCCGTCCCTAGTCAGGAACGGATCCCTTGCAATACCGTTCCTGTCTGGCCCAAATCGATTCCAAATCTGTTCCTTGGGAACGGCCCGGGAATGGAATGGAACATACTGGAATGGACCAGAATGGGAACGGGAACGGGTCCATTCTTGGGATGGGAATAGGTCTGTTCTTGGGATGGGAACGGACACCGTCCCCGTTCCCATTCTAACCTCTTTTGTCTGGGCCCACCTCGGGGTTGCCCCCCATTTTGAATGCGGTGGGTTTCTGGCCGATACCATGCATGATGTATCGGGCATACGGGCGACCAGCCCCCTTCGCGTGCTGAATATAGTTGCACCCGCTTGTGCATGATTGTCAACAACTTTTGTCTTGCCAGCAAGTAGTTTTGTCCACATATCCCGGTGCTCAGGTGTGACCAAGCTCGTCGACACCCGTGGCACCAGCGCTGACTCCGCCCTAGCTGGCCGAGGCCGAGGCCACCTTCCTCTGTAATGTCGGCATAACGCGCAGGTTCCCACGCGTGTTGGACATGGCCCCTTTGTTGCCGTCCGCGGCGGCCGCCCCGTCGACTGGGCCTACAGGCCCGTAAACTGCCGTGTGCGGCACCGCGCCGTTTGGCCTGCGCCCTGTGGCCTGAGGAGCGAAACCGGGGCCACGCACGCGCGGATTCGTGGTCGAACCGGCGCACAAGGGATGTCCGCTGGAGGAGGGCTATCGGCGCAGCCATCACGGAACCGACGCCGTTCCCTTGGATCCGTCCGGCCTTGGGAGAGCCTCCAGGAGACGTCCCCTTGGCGCGAGACCCCCACGACCGCCGAGGCCGTGACAGGGCCTCGCTGGTGGCCCCATTTTGTGCCGCTGTTTGTAGAGGGCTATTGGATTGTGCGGTGCTGAATTGAAGCCGCCGCGTGTGGGGACGTTTGGCGTCCAACGCTGGCGTTGCACCGCTGTGCGCCTGCGTCCGGCGCGCCCGGCTGCTGGTGAGCAGGGGGACGGCGCGGTGAGCCTCAGCTGCTCTGGATTGGGGCCGGAACCAAGCGCAATCTGCATGACCAACGGAAAGAGTTTGGCGGCGATGGGCCCCTAAATGGGTTGAGGCCAAGCTTTGCGTCAACGTCAGGCTGCAGTGCGGGACGGCAGGAAGACGGGGGCGGTGGAGGCTTGTTCGCTTCGCCCAGAGCTTTCTGCGGTCTGCTGTTGGTGGCCCACCGCCGGCACCGTCAGCGGTAGAACACCACCTCGAAGTCAAGGCGGCAAGGGCAGTTGCGAAGAACGCCGTTGGTTGTCGAAAGAGAGAGCTGATTCGCAGCGCATCAACGCCAATTGTCAGGGAGCAGCGGGGGACAGGCAGCCACAGACGAGAGGATGGCGAAGGTTGCCTCTGCCGGTGGCGGTGCGGGGAGGGGCGACGTCGAAGTCGACGGCGGCCCTTCCACAGGCGAGAAGAAGGATGGGTTCATGAGCAGAGTCGTGGACGCCGCAAGGGTGCCCGTGGAAAGACGCAGTCCGGAGCAGGTCTGTTTGCTGCAGCTTTTCGCGCTGCGGCTAGCTGAGACCTTTGTGACTCAGCGACCGTCGATTCGCTGTCATGATGCAGATACCTGGGTGCATGTCACCACCTCTTTCCTGGGGGTGCATGGGGTGAAAGCTTATCCTGATGCATGACTCTTTATCGATTAAAGAAACAATGAATGCCGCCAAAACCCGTTTTCGCAAGTATCTGAAGAAATGTCCCCCGCCAAGTGCCTTTTGGAATGTGCTTCCTGACGTGTCTGGTGTGTTGCGGTTCATTGTGATGATATTGGTCATTTCAGGAAACTTCGGTGGCTGTGCAAACTATGCCAACTATTGAAATTTGTGTATCAGCAAAGGCGCATGCCTGCCACCACCTGAAAAGGACAACGAAACAAAGCCATGCAATTCTAACCTTTTCTAGCTGCCATTTTCGTCAGTGGATACCACCTTCGCTTCGGCGCTGATATGCTTTTTTACGACGGTACTTTGGCAGCGTAAACAGCGGCACAGTTGCCCAGCCATGGGCACTGGTCCTTTATACCATGGGAGTGCTGCCTTGCAGATTTCTTGTCTGGCGAGTTTCCTGTCGTCCGTTGCGAAGCTGAGGCAATTCCAGCCGAGCACCATCATGGAGTTGGTGCGGGAGATGGCGACGTTGGAGCTGAAGAGGGCCGAGATGCTCTTCGAGCAGGGCGACCTGGCGGATGCGTACGACGTGTTGGTTATGGGCAAGTGCGCGTTGTACATCCGCGAGGAAGATGAGGAGGGATTAGGTGTGTGGGGCAAGCCCTGCATCAGATTGGTCTGAGAATCGCAGCGCCCCGCTGCCGGCCCTACGAAGCCACGCCGAAAGTAACCACTCGCTCTGAATGTCTGCGATGCAATCTCCATGAGCACCAGCTTCAAACCTAAGCCCGAAATGAAGCATTTTCACTGGCAAGACATCCTAGAACGTTTGCAAAAGGGGAAATTGGTCATTTCACAAGCCTTCTAGGTGTGTTCGTATTGCATTTAAATGGACCAACCTCATTACCTTGACCGTGTCCTGGGTGCCATTCTTGCCGGCTTAAAATTTTGCACTGTGCTGGGTGACATCGCCCACCACATGTCGAGGTACGCAACAGTCAATTCAGCAGGCATGCCCTTGTACCTAAGAAATCTGGTGCCCGAATTGACCACATAGACTGGACGCGATGACGGTGTATGCTCAAAGCGACTGTGGATTGAGAATGAGCAAGTGTGAGTAACAGCCTTTGAAGGAAATTTTTCACCGGTCCAGTGAAATAAAAGTACAAGCGGCATCCACTTGTTCAGTAACTTGCTCGGAGTATGGCGAATTACACCTGGCAGGAAACAACATTTTATGAAAATGTATATTAGCTAATTAGCTATACCAACCAAGATTCCAGTTTGACCCTATATGGCGCCGTCACAGTGATTGCGGTGGACTCAATGAGTTTGAAATGTCACCGCAGTTAGCACGGCTAGGCGATGTTTTCGACCGAGGCATTATGTGTCTGTTTGGTCATGATATCAGCGTGATCCAGCCCAGACCTATACGATCCGCGATCAGGACTGATATATTCAACATTGATGCAAACATTCCTTTCAACAGGTTGACATGCTGCCACTCATGTTCACTCATTTTCGGGTTGGCTAGACAATGAGCATGTACATTGTGTGAACTGTAAAGTGTGCTCTTCCTGCCCCACACGGCTCCACAGGTACTATTAACACGCATGTACTCATCTGGCTTCCCTTGATACAACAGTAACAAAAAAAACCGTTAAATGAGCAGTGCAGTTTCGGCTGCTTCATAGCTAATAAGTGTACAGCCTGTACTGTACAGGAACCGATAAATAATGTACGCTTTTGAACTGCATTGCACCATCCAACTCGTGCTCTAATATAGATTTTACTACCATCCGTTTGATACAAAGGCACTGGGCAGAGAAATTTCGTTTCACAGTTCCCCTATGGTGACTGAGAAGCATAAGACATTATCTGCACAGGACACCGCAATTGCGACCAGTAGAGTTCGTACCTTTTTAAATGGCCCATCATACATTTGCAAAGTACAGCGGCAACGGCAAATTTTGGTTTGTCACAAGCGCGCCATTCTCCACGCTTGGTAGCTTCACTAAATTCCAAGTCACCGCACAGCAGCATTAGAAATCCCTTGGCAAGGGTTTCTGATGCCGAAGCATGGCGATTCGCTGAAGCGGGACTTCACCGAGCACACCCACACATTTTAGGATATTTTTCACAGCAATCTTGTGACAGACAAAGTAATGCTTATGTTCCTCGGCGTGTGCAAGCAGTATCGTATCTTTTAGTTGACGTGACGCATTGTTCATCGCCTCGCAATTCCCAGGTAGGGAAGCAAAAAATCTGCGCCCCAGGGATGGAGTTGGCGATCAAGAGCTCTTGGACGGCGGAGTGAGGCCATGGTCTTGTGTGGTAGGGAACCGAAAACAGCCTCGTCGCTGAAGCCACAAGTTGCAGCCTTGCACCGACTCTGCGTGAAACATGGCCTGGATTCAGCCCTTTCGATCAGAAGGGTGATCATGATGCGTTGAATCCATCCAATCCCATTTGCCGAGACATTGCGCAGCGCTGACATTGAACCTGCAAAGCCGTGGTGGAACATTTCCATCCGCATGGTGTGTTTTGCTTCAGAAATTTCGCTCAACTCGCCTCGTTCGAAACTGAGTTTGATTCAGGGTCAATTTCGAGCTCCAGAGAAGGGAGCTGGCGCATGTCTGCCTTCACGTTGATTCCTGGAGACAGAGCATTGTGTAATTGATGCAAAGGGGGGAAAACTGCCTCGAGAGATTTTGAGGGGGAATCTGGCAATTCGCGTGTATCCTCAAAAGTGGAAATGTGCCATACACCCCATCACCGCCTCCCATCCACCCAACCAACAAATCCCGACCCCTTCCAAATGTGTAACAGCTATCCAGAATGGAGCTCTGGGCCATGAGGCGGGTCCAATCTGTAATAGTTGTTTCTGTGCTGGCCTCATGGTCGTGGACTCATGGTCGCGCACGTTAGATCAAATGACCGCGGAGAGCACCGTGGTTCTTTGCTGCTGGGCTTTCCTGGCACAGGGCACTGCGCCTGAATGTCATTAAAACCACTTCTCCCACGAAGCTTCATCTATTTGGCAGTGTTTAGGTTGTGGATCCTATCGAACCTGATGGGCCAGTGCAGTTCTAGGCGTTTGAATGGGCACATTTCACCAGGTACGTTTACAGCTCCATTTTTACATTTATTTTTGCGCAAAAGAACGCATGAGTAGAGAAACCATCATTTTACCGCGATATTAAGCATTTCTACAACTCGTCGAGATACCCAGGCTACATGATATCATGGTGCATCGATGTACCAAACAATGGTTAGTCCTCCGTCCCCTCTAGCACCCGGAACGCAGCGCCCACATCGCTCTTTGCAAGGGCAACAACGTTATCGAACAAAAGGCCGTTTTCTGTTCACTCCAGTGCGCCTGGCTGCCATTCCCCGGATTCCCAGAGCCAACATGCACTGTCTTTGTGGATACGGGGTCTTGCTTGAAAGCATTTTTAGGGCTATTTACGTGCAAAAACATAGATTTCTTTTGAGCGTAATACCAGTAAATAGATAAGCGTTTAGGCAGTAAGCAACATGTCTGCATTACGCTAGTGAAATGAGCTCCATCTGCAGGCCACCCAAGACAGTGTTGTGCTACGAGTGGATCTGGAGACGTACAGACGTGTTCTCTCCAGCGGTTTCGCAAGGCTCAGGGAAGAGAAGGTCACCTTCCTGGCATCCCTGCCCGCCCTTCAGGGCATTTCGCGGAATGGTCTCACAAAAAGGGCGCATTATTTCCATGAGAAGGTGCGCCCATCTCGGCCTCTGGACTTCATGGCCTTCATGTTCGGAAGTGAGAGATGTCCGTCAAACCTCTGACTCCATGGCGAACAAGCGGCGCTATGCAGACAATGAAAGTCCTGTTGATGTGGCTGGACGGATATCGCATCATTGCTTACATAAAATGTGAATATCGACTCGCCCATTCAGTTTGCTTTGCCAACTTGGCGCTGTCTGCCTTGCTCTGAGAATTTTTGATGATCCGAGGAGCCGGGACTGGATATGATGCAAGGCGATTTACAGGTCGAAACTATGGTTCCATCTGTGCTCGCTTTGCACGTGATCCTCTGTATGAATGTACACGCATGGTGTTTAAAATCTGCACGCTACTTCTTCTTTACAACATTTATTGAAATATTATTTGAAAGACAGAATATGTTACAAGGGCGGCCTAAAAGATACAAAATAAGTTCAAAATCGGTAAGCTTGGGCTCCAAAACCTCTAACTAAAAGGTCTTAAGGAGAAAAAGCGCAACATTGTCCCTTTGAGCGTTAGGCAAAAGGTAAAATTGGGTGATTTTTGACCCCAATATCGTTTACGAGGTTAAAAGACCCTTGATACAAAGCACTGCCAAGTCCTCAATACTTAATGGATTGACTTGAAATTTTGTTAGTGTACTCCAAGCTTACAAGCAAGACTTTGGGTGAAGTTTGATTGAAAATTGCTGTCTTTGCGGTGGATAAGTGATGCCCAAAAGTCATGGACGACGATTAATCTTGGACGGAGGAAATGCATTACAAGCGAAAGATCACTGACAGCGATTTGCTGTGTGGTCAAGTGCGGCCAAAAATGACTACTGTTCGGGGAACGCGGAGCCGTAATCTACATTCCATGACTTTGTCGCCACCAATTGAGCCCCTTAGAGCTGTGATGAGCAACTCTCAGTACATTTCTGGCAGATTTCCGAATGACTGCAACCCCCTATGGATCGGTTTCCTCATGTCCAGCGCCCGCCTAAGCATTCTATGGTCCGCCACGCGATGCGCTAGTGCCTTTGGCGGCCGCCAGCCTAAATCTACGGGCCTTGTCCTCTGCGGCAAGTGTGCTCCCATCTTGCAGCCGAAGAGGCCGCAGATTCGCCAGTTAAAAATTTTAAATTGAGATGTACTGATAGACAGGTACCTTGTACAGGAGCAACGTACCATTGCTACTGCAAGGAATTGCTGATTGCCAGTGGCAAACATATTTGCCAAACTTGCACAGTTTGCGTCCGTTTTTATTCAGTGTTGTATTGAAGAAAACCGCTGGATGACGTACACCGCCCAATTGTATAAATGGAATAATGCAATCGCCCAATGGTGTGGACCGTTGATAAATGGCACCACATCGCGCAACCCTGACACCATTCTCAGAACTAGAACTACCAGTCCTATCTAATTACCTCACAAGTAAGCAACAAGGTGATGCCAGTTTGTGTCAGCATGTCTCTGAGCTGACCGTTCTTCCAGCGAAGTTGTCGGCAAGTTCACACGGCACCGAGCAGGACTTGACGCCGCATAGCGCTTCATGTGACACAGGAATTCGACAGCAGAGAAGTGGTAGTGAGGCAGGGCATGCCCACCGGCCACCTCTTCGCAATCAAGTCGGGTCAGTGCTGCGTTTACGTGGATCCGGACTACGACCCAAATAACCCGTCGGTTCCCGCCGAAGTGGATCCCAAGAAGTGCATGCAGGTATCTTGGTCAGGAAAAACCAGGTCCGTGTGTACGCGTGAAAAACGCCTCGGATGTCGCATTGACCTCAGAATGCGGAATTGCAGGGCTCAATTAATTTGGCGTTCCAAACTCATTGTCGCGTTCCTAGGCCATTGACGGGAGGTGGGACACTGTACGAATCGGAATGGAGGTGCGACACGCTTAGCCACTGAGCAGCTGGAACATCGCCTCAAAACACGCAGTCGTCTTGCCAGTATTGTTAGTTCTGATAGTGCAAATTCATGCGACTACCCAGAAAATGCCTCTATGAATTCGTGTGAGCGCAAACTGTTCCCGAGATTTGATTCTCCAGGGGCTTGGTAAAAACTCGCCATGACGCACCTCTGCCATCTCACGCACCGACGACGTCCGCATGAGTCATCAGGCCGTATGAGCATCTCATCTCCCACACAGAGCCACAAAGAATGCTGCCCATCATCCCGCCGGGATTCATTGCGAAAGGGTTTCCATCACACACTTTCATTCGTGTCTACATGTTCAGACGGAGTTAAATTCCTAAAAATCGCGCATTGGTCATGTGACCAGACGACCATGGACCACTTCAAAACACGGACCAATGGATCCTGAAGGATGGACAACATATTCACTGCCATTTTCGCTTGTGATTCGGGGCTGACTGCAGCCGATCTGGAGCCCACTTGCACTCAAAATTTATCCCCAAGTACAGTGCTCATGGCTCCCTCACAAACTTCTAGGCAATTACTCGCTGTCCTCAGCCTGTCCCCGCCCACCCGCCTACCCCCGCTACCCTCGCCGCCCCCACGTTAGTCTACGGCGAGCGGCTGCCAACGCGACGGATAGATGGCTGCAGAACGACACTTCTAAAATGTTGCCCTGTTCTGCTTGAACTTGGTGCTTTATGATCAGTGCTTTGAAAGCTGTCTGGAGTACTGATTCGTGAATACTCTGAAGCTGGAAGGACATGGGCACACGCACATGTATTGTGCTAAGCTTGCAAATCAACGTCGGTACCAACTTGTTTTTGGCCGGTAGGTCTGCTTGCTCGGGGCTGGCGCATTCATTGGCGATATGTCTCTGGACGGATCGCGGAGGGCGGCGACGGTCATTGCGCTCCACGCCGTTGTCACCTACAAGTGAGCCCACAACAGTTGCATTCCCGACGTTATGTGTACGGACCCACTTTTGTCATCGCCTCGAAGGGCTCTGATTTGCAAATGCAAGGAAATTGATCAGCATGAGACCAACAGTGACTGTTGCGTATGAAATTCTTAGGTAGGTCGCTATTCTGGATTTAGTACGCTTAACGCTCAATGGCACCCAGCAGGGGAGGCAAATGTCGAGAGCCCCAACACGTTTAACTCGTCACTTAATAGGCGACTGCATGAAAATCGAGAAAGGCGGCCAGGGGCCAGAACGGTGTTGTGCAACGGCCTTCACAGTGTGCGACCCTTGGCATGTCCTCCTTTCATGTCCGTTGCTCCGCCATGCCAGATGTGGCGGCTTTGGCAAGTTGCAATCTCTGGGCCCTGGTCCGCGGGATGGCGCCGCGAGCGTTTACACAAGCAGCGATTGCGGCCACGACATGGCCGTTTGGGCGGGTTGCCCTCCCCGGGCGCAAGCCCACGGGGTCAACGTGGCGAGCAGGCCGTACGCTCTGATGCCGGTCCTGACGACAGTGAGTTGAGGCGCACAGATTTTGTCCACCGGCGGTGAATGCTTAACCACGAATAGGAACTGCCTTTGGTGATCGGTGCCTTGTCATTTTGGACCCAGCGACTCGTGAATCTGACGATCCACGGAGAGCACGAAGGGAAGAGCGCACTAGGGGCAAACGGCAGCATGTAGGGATAGATAGCGGGCGTGCATTGTTGTGGGAAGCTCATGTGTACGACAAAGCATTGGCAACCATCATCGCAGCCTGCGAGATGCCTTTCAGTATCCCCAGTAGTCCCCATCCCACCCCACCCCCACCCCCCGTCCTCCGTTTACGGAGCACGAAATGCTCCTCCAACATTGAACTTGGAGACCCCAAATATACGGCAGACAATTGATGCCCCCATCCATGCGCTCGACTGCCTCGGCTCAGGCCGACAGGACGCCTTGGCCCATCACTGCAGGGTCCGAAGAACGGAGTTCAAGAGGATCATGCCCCAGCACATACTGGACAGCATGAAGAGGGCCGCCAGCGAGAAGGCCAAGTTCCAGCAGCAGCACCTGGCCAACAGAAACATGCAGGGGTCTGGGGACCTCCAGGGCACAGTATTGTTGGGGCCCAACAAGGTGCCCGTCCCCTCGACAGTCCTTCAGGGCTACAAGCTCCGATCCCTCAGCGGCCTGTTGGAGGACGAAGCACGCAAGAAGACCTGGAGGAGAAGGGACTTGGCTTGGGGGACATCTGGCGAGGCAGGCAACGGCAAGACCCGTCACAACGGTGGACAGCGGCCCACTGTCGTACAACTGGCCCTGGACTCCCCCATTCGAAGCCTGTTGGGGGCTGAGCTGCACGGCATGGCCAGACCGGTGCGCTTTCGCTATGCAGGTCCGGGTTCAGGCAAAGTCACCCGTGAAAACTCCAAAGAGCTCCGAGGCCACGACCTCGAGGGAAGCAGATCCAAAAGGGGGGACACGAGTGTCATAAGCAAGCTGGATAGCGTATTGGCGGATGCTGTCCGCAGAGAGTCGCTCTTGGCAGGAAAGGGTGCATCTTCAGTTGCAGGGAAGGCCACCACTGCTGCCCCTCTTTGCCTGCAGATGCCACGCACACTGCGGGGCCAGGGAGGGCCCAAGAGTGCCACTGGCTTGAATCCTACGTTGGGCGCACAAGGGCTGGCTCCGGGGGCGCTGAACGTCACCCCCGTGCAAAAACCTGTTCCTGAATATCTGCTGGGTGGGGGTCGCCAGCTGCAGAGCGCGGGATCTGATGCAAGCGCTTGGGCTTCAGCCCTTGTGAGCCCCAGACACCTGGGCCTTGCCAAAGCATATTCCTGCCCAGTGCCACCTGTGGCCATCAAGTGGGAGGGGAGCCTAGAAAATGCAGCGACTTCGCACAGAAGCTGCCTGGGCGGCGAAGATCCGGCAGGGCTGTCACACAGGTCGCAGTCAAGGGAGTGCCCTAGGCCCAGGACACCACGCAGCAGAGACCACTTCAAGCCGAGAATCGACAAGAGTTTGCTCCGCGTCTAGCATTGGCAAGGGGTTTCAGCAGAGCAACCTTTCCAATGTCTTCACCCAGGTTACAATTCAGATGAGTGCTTGTCTGGGGGAAACATGCCTTCACAACTCTCTCAGTCGAGTGCAGTGGATGCCCAAAACACAAAATGCGACAGTGTGGAATAAGATGCCACTATTCACTGTCGAGGGTGTAACACCATCTGATGGCAGTATTGGCAACAGCAACGTCTGGAAGGAACCTGCATCTGCATTCTTGCACCCTATGCTACAAGCAGCAAAGGAGCATAGCAACGTGTTTACTTGAGAGATCCACTGAGACCTGGCTCTGCACAAGTACGCCCTGGCACTGCCCTCATCACAATATCGTGACACGACAACATCAACAATTGTGCATACAGCTGGCCAGTGGCCAGGTAGGTGCGAATGATTCACAGGCATGGTGCAAAAACATTACACATGAAGCCATTGGATACAGCGACAGGCATTCACACCCCTCCACAATAAAGACAGATCCATTTCATACAATCGCAACAACGCCCATACAGTCCCGTTCCAGAACAACGCAAAAGGCCCTTATGAGACGGTTTCTGTCATCATGTCCGCTGCAGCGTCGTCCAAGAACTTCTTCAGGCTCTCCTTGTCCCTTGCGCCTGTTAGCAACAAAATGAGAGTAAGACAACAACCACTGGGAGCAAGCTTGTGGCACGGTGCCATAACGGACAGGGCGCCACAACGGACACCAGCATTTCCGCTGCAGAAGCCCCTATGTCCCAGGCCACACAACCCAAGTCTCGGATCAATGACATGACTTGAGGGATGCCAGCCACCCTCTGGGGGCACACACCTTTGTATGGCTTGTACAGCTTCCCCTCGTAATACAGCTTCAGGGTTGGGTAGCCCTTGACCTGGTTGAACGAAAACTTGCCGTCAGGCCAGGATCCGAGAATGTACAAACGTGCCAGAGGCGCCCATGGAGCCCCAGGCCGAAGCAACCTGCCCAGGTGCCCGAGCACAGCCACGAACATGACCCACGACAGCCTGTTCCTGGAATCAGATCTTGCTCCACGAGGGCATAGAGTCCGGAGGTGGTGCGGCAAAAACACGAACACACAGGATCGTCCACGGAATACCGATCTCCGATATGCTCGAGGCCAGCGTCACACTTTCGAAAAGGCAAGCCCACGCCACAACCCACCTCTGCCTCGCTGCAGATGGACTTCTCCACCGTGCAGTCGATGTGGGCGATAGCAATCTCCTTGCTACCCTCATAGTCGTCGCCCAGCTCCTTCCACGTCGGCGCTAGCCGCTTGCAGTGGCCTGCACCGGACAACGCGGATCCATATCAGACGCGGCAAGGGCCCCGCGCAATTGGACGGCCACACGTACAAAGGCAAGATCGCCAACCGATGGTCCCTCAAGCGCGGCCGCACTGGCAAGTCCCAAAGGCGCCCGCCAATTGGGCATCGTGCCACGCGGCCCCACCCCTCCCCCGGGGTGGAAATCATGCACTCACCGCACCAGGGAGCGTAGAACTTGATAAGCCACAGCTTCCCGTCCGCCGTCTGCGGAAACAAAAGAACACACCCACGGGGCGGGGTCAGGAGCGAGTCGCCGCCAGCGGCCGGGAATCCGCCCACAACGCCGCTGCCAGCGATCGCCAGCCCCCCAGATCGCGCGTATTGGGAGCGCCCCGGCGCCGCACGGAGGCCAAGGAGAAAATCTTCTCGGGGAAGCGCTTTATGGCGCCCGCGTAGCCGCGGGGACACCTCCGAGAGCTGGCTAGGGATGGCCACGGCGTGCCGCGTCACGCACCGCCTCCTTGAAGTTCTTGCTCGTGAGCGTCACCACGTTCTTTGCGGCGAACTCACTGGCGTCCGCCATTGCCAGGCACAGGAGGAGGGCGGCCGCCGCCCACAGGGCCCTGCTTGGCGACATGGCTCGCGGGGCTGCGGGGGGCTGCGGTGGTGCGAGGGGTGTTGGCGTCGCTCAGACACCTGTCCAGCCGAGCTGAGGGCTTAAATTATGCCCGCCCCGAAACTTGAAAGAAGCGCCCGGCATGATTCCGTGGTGCAAATGGGGTTGGGTTGCCGATTCCTCGTTCCGTTTGTTGGCCTCTGGGCGCCATTTTTTATGGCTTAAGGTGAAGCGGCACTTGGGTGGATTTCCGGGGGGTATGGTGCACCGCAATCACGCGCATCAATGCAGCATGACATTATGAGCGCACCACTGCCCCTGTTGAGGTGCTCTAAATCCCTAAAGTTGTTTGGAAACCCAGCAGTTTCCGGCGGGAGAACGTTCCGTAAACCCGTGGCAAAGGCATTGCACCTATGCGCACCGTGTCTCACTCCAGCAAAGTCCACGGTATGCGATCCTTTTAACGTGCCGGTTGACTCGCTTTTCGGAGGTGTGACGAGTGACATTGTTGTGGCGTACGCGGTCCTGCAAAACTGGCCAAATTGCCAAGTTCTGGGGCTCGGGGCGGCCCCAGGCGCACCAAGAGTGGCAAAGGCAAAGCTGCTGGGGATTCCGAGTACAACGATTATTTCGGTGACAGGAGAAAGCTGAGCTCGCGCTCATGCCCACACTGGCATTCAACACCAGGCTGCCCGGCTGGCGATTGCAAACACGATCCCATTTTGCGACTTGGGGACGCGCCAGCCGAACGCAGGAACGCTGCTGGAACAGGCAATTGTCGATGTCAGGTGCCATTCGCTTGTCACGGGTGGGTTATAACGCGGAGCCACTGTCCGTCTCACCGCCGATCCAACTTCTTTTCTCGCCCCAGGCCCCAGTTGGCGCAACCCAATTGCCAGATTCGCAACGCGCAACATCACTGGCCTTGGGGCCCAGGCGTCACGTGACTTCTTTGCACTGTTGAATCTGCTATGATGGCGCGGCTGTGAAGCGGTTGTGTACCCAAGCCCTGAAACTCGGAAATCCAGGAGTACTGGATGCAGAAAAACTCCACCACAACATGCCCAGCTCGGCGTCGAGAGCCACTGAATAATTGTATCAAAATGTCTTTGTTGAAGCTGCAAGCTCGTCAACTTGTGGTGCGGCACGTTGGGTTGGAGGACAGAGTACCCGACTTACTACATCAACGGCTTCATGCTAGGAAGTGGCGGCCACCATTGGGCGTCGACATTGTGCATAACGACACGCCTGACTTCCAAGTGCTTGCAGCTAAACTCACCAGGTCCCATCAAGGGGCCTATCAACAATTGTTGCTGTGACGTCTGTGCGCCACTACATCGAATTCCGTTCATGTGTGCTGCAGCTCAGCTCTCTTGGCACAAGAAGCCCATCTCCAAAAGCATCTCGGGCGAGAGCTGTGCATTGGTGATGGCCAAATCAACTTTGTGCTTGCAGGCTGCCATGTCGTGGACAAAATGCACCCAGTTTGCCCAAGTTTGCCTCAGTGTGTTCGCTCTCAGTTAGACCTCTCCAATTAGCCCAATTGGCTGGCACACAAAGAGCAGCATTCTGATAGCATGTCGCGGGCATTGGCACCAGGGTAAAATAGGAGCTGGCAAAACGTTCAGACAGTTGCCAACATGGATATACAAGGTCCTCTCCACGACGAAATGAAACAGGTGGCCTCTCAGGTCCACATTGCCAGAAAAGTGTTGAACAAACTACAGCGGGGCTCACAAACCAGCGAACTACTACTCTGATGCAGAAAACGGCCACCAACAATAGACAAACTCTAACCTGCTAGTCAACTACAACGAAGGCAAGCACCAGCCTGCAAGTGTTTTGTGAAAAATCCCTGAAAATTATGGCCACATACGCCCACTTGTCATAAGGCTCCTGGCAGTGCCGAGACTGAATGTGCAAGCAGAAGGCAGCCTTCAGGGGCAGCCATGGGGAAGTACCATAAATGAAGACTGCATGCTCAGAGGCAAATGCTCCACTTCAGCAATTAGACCAGGAAAATGATGCCCTGCAGTGCCTGGCAGCTGTTCCTAATGCCATCAAGACTTAATTAATGGCAAACCCCACAACACAGCCCACACCAGCTAATTTTCCTCTTCTCCCACGTCTTGCTCATCCTCAGACTCATCCCTGCTGAGCGTCCCAAAGTTCTGAAACCACTCGGAGATCTTCTCGAACAGAGGCTGCAGGCTCGTGCTGCCCTTGTCCTCCAGCGTTGTGAAGCTGCGCGGCACCACCACCTCCACCCGCCTCTGCATGCTCATGTTGCGCAGCTCGTTCGCCCGCTCATATGCCCCCAGCCGCTCCTCCAGCTGCACCCATGTGCTCCAGGTGGTCTCATTCTTGGGGTCTGCCTTCACAGCGCACTTGAACAGCTCCCGGGCCAGCACAGTGTTCCCTGCGCCCATCTCCAGCACCCCCCAAGCCTGGAACACGTACGCCACGTCCTTGGTGTTGGGACCCGCCCACACGCCCTCCTGGAACAGCTCCCGCGCCCTGCCCACGTTCCCCCGCCGGAACTCCATCACACCCCACGCCTGCCACACCCGCTGCGTGTTCCTGTCTGCCCGTGTGCCCTTCTCGAACAGCCGCCCCGCCTTGTCAAAATTCCCCATCTGGGCCTCCAGCACGCCCCAGGCCTGCAGTATGGCGGGGTCCCGCCGGTTCAGGCGATGGCCCTTCTCCAGCAGCTCCAGGGCCTTGTCCAGCCGCCCCTGGTCCTTTTCAAACAGCGCCCAAGCCAGGTAGGTGTACCTCGACCGGGGATTCACCTCCAGCGCCCGCCCGAACAGCCCCTGGGCCGCCTCCTTGTCCCCATTCTCCGCCTCCATCAGCGCCCATGCCTGCCACAGCGCGAAGCTGCCCGCGCCCTTGGCCGTCCGCGTGCCCTTGCTGAACCACTCCCGCGCCTCCTCCTGCCGGCCCAGCCCCGCCGCAAGCACCGCCAGCGAGTTGAATAGGTACGGGCTGGGCGCCCGGCCCGCGTTCCTGATCCCCTTGATCCAGCAGTCGCGCGCGCGCGCGTAGTCCCCCTCCCGCTTCTCCAGCATGCCCCAACCGTGCCAGGCTGCCTGGTGGCCCCTGTCCGCCACGACGGCCGCGTCGTACAGCTTGCGCGCGCGCGGCACGCTGCCCACCATGGCCTCCAGGTTCGCCCAGGCCGTCCATACATACGCGTTGCACCCCTGGGTGGCCGTGCAACCGCCTTCGTACACCTTCCTGGCCTCCTCGAACCGCCGCTGCTGCACCATCAGCCTCCCCAGGCCCACATAGGACCTTCCGTCCGTGGCGTCCATAGATATCACCCTCCGGTACCCCTCTTCGGCCTCGCGCAGCATCTCCGACCGCTGGCTGCCGGCCGCCGTCTCCGCGCGGCGCCTGCGCACGCGGCACCGGTAGAGCAGGAGGTCGCGGTTGATCTTCAGCGGCTTGCCGGGCGCATTGCCCTCCCCTGACCCCCCGCCCTCCACGTCCACGGGCGGGCCGATCTCCTCCAACACCCTTGGCGGCGGGATGTCCACATTGGGGATCGACATGGCGCCCCCGCCGGCCTCCATCATCACCATGAGCCGACGGGCATTTGAGAAGCGCCTGCGGCGAGTGGGGAAGGCGCGACGGTGCCGCCGCGATGGGATTGGGCACCGCGGAGGGGCGGGGGGGCTTCCCGAACAGCAGGGCGCGGAGAGCGCCTCCGCTGTCGCGGCGGCCTCCCCGGGCATGGTCGTCTGGGCCACGGGGGAGAGGCTGCAGAGGGCAAACTCCCACAGGTTGATGTTGGGTGTGTGTTGGCGCGGGGCTGTCAGCGAAAAAAACGGGGGGGATGGAGATGGTGGGTGGAGGAAAAATGGCTGGCTGGGGTTGGGGCAAAGGTCGAAGGTGTCGATACGGACCACGAACACGGAGACGGTGACGAAGACGGTATGGAAACAGTGACAAAGTACATACACATCCTAAACCCTAAAACCCTAAAAACCCTACCACGCCCCACCGCCCAATCCTGACCCGTACCCATCTCCGTCGCCGTCACCGTACCCGTCTCCATCACTGTCTCCGTCTCAGTCTTGTCTCCGTCGCGTCTCCGTCACCGTCGCCGTGCTCATGGTCTGTCTCCGGAACCCAGTGGAAAGGTGGACGAGGGGGCGGGCTGTGAGGTATCGATTCCAGGTTTCCAAAACGAACGCTTTGGCGCTGTCTCTAGGAATGCGAAAGTTTGGTGTAAAACAGTGACTTGTGTCCATGCGTTTCTCTGCAGCACTGCACCTTCGAATTCAGAAGAAGAGGATTGGGCGAATTGGAAGACTAGCAAACCGCACGAGTGCGAATTGATTTTTGTGGAGCATCCCCATAGAAAGGCGCAGACCACCTGCTCAGGACTAGGACCAGAAACGAGGGCACGTAGATAGTTTGGAATAGCATGATTAAATCAGGGCAAAATAGCAATGAGTACCTCTCACAACTCTCAAACATTGCTGGTGGCCGCCATAATTTGTCTCACCCGGCGACGTAGTACCCTTCACCTAACCCTGCGCGTCCCTGGAAACTGCAGAGATAACAGCAAAAGTATCAGACACACTATGCATTTTGACACCAGCAGCGACTGGGCGATCAACGGCTGATGCCATCCTGCCGAAAGCAGTTCATCCGTCCATCGGCGCAGCTGGGCAGTGTATCCTGTATTGCTCCCCCGCGCAGCTCGAGGCGCCGAACAGACAGAATTCTGTTGTGACACAGTTTGTCACTGAACTGGCAGCATGACTGGGCCTGCAGTCTTCGGCAATGTCCACCTACGTCCACCGGACACTGGACCGTATCACATGCGAAGCCAGCTGTACACCCACTGGACACTTCCTGGTTGCCTCTACACCTCTTCCTCTTCCACACCGCGGATGTACAGCACGTTGTTGCACCTAAACCAAGGAGACACATATAGGGATCAGAATGTGTGAGCTCCGTATTGATTTAGCCAAAATACTACAAAAGAATCTCTTTATTGGAATAGCAGCTGCTGCGGCGCTTGACGTTGCCAATATGATGAGTGTCCATACTGCTTCCCACATTCCCAATCGCCACAAGGCGCGAGACAAAACATCAGAAGAGCATGGACACAATGTACAACACTGATAGGGTGCTGCTTGGTCATCATGCAGAATAGCTCTGGAGAGAAAAAACGAACAAGTACCACAACATCAGCAGCCATTACCTCATTACAGTTTCCCCAAAGACCCAAGAAGAAAGGCAGCTGACTAACACATGAATGAGAGCAATGCGCATGTCCTTGGGAACAAACACCACAGTGGCAGACAGCATAAAGATTTTAGCCCAGAAGTTGATGCAGATTGCGCTCACCTTATCAACACTTCCCCCAAATTTCCTGTCTTCTCTCCATTGATGATTTCATCGGTATTTGCCAACTAAGCAGAGCAACATAATTCAAAGGCATGCAATAACTTGGACAACACTTGCCTTCCCAGGGCAAACAGTGCCCTTGCACATAAAAGTGACGAAGAGCACTTGGGGTCCCAATCGCATGTTTGTTCACCAGCCTTTCATACTTCCTCACCACAAGGGGCAAGAAATGAAGGTTCTTGTGTGTGGACAATGAGGACAGTGCACATGAGTGTGGGCAAGGATGCAGAAAAGCAGCAACAAGAAACCACAATACTGCACAGGCAAGGGATACAACCACAGTTCATGAGCTCTCTCAGGGCAACTTGCTGACTTTGAATGGTGTTTGCTTAAGGCTGAGGCATGTTGGTCACCCTGCTTGTCGTTTCCATTCACAAGTCTGAGACAGTGTCAGAATCTCGCACAGCCTCACAACATGGTCCTAGGCTGTCCCTACTCAATAGACAGATCACAAGAGGAAAGAGAGCATTAAGCCACCCCACCCCCTATTGGGATGGGAAACAAAATCAGAACAGCAATTGCCCCACCTGCAGGTTCATGTAAGAGTCCACTGACACAAGGTACCCTGGCAAACATACGATGCGAATCGTTATTAACTACATTGGCCACACAAACGACAAATCAGCGTCCGTCTACCTATGGAGCAAAGTCTAATACTGTTGCAGACACGAAAAACATTCCCTAATGTGGTCATTGCTCCCACAGGAAGGCCAAGGCAGCCAAAATCTTTGTCAGGCTGGGGTCAAATGGGAATTACAGCTGCAGATAATGCCATGAATTGATAGCACAATTGCAGTTCATGATTGCACAACTGTGTCCGCTTTTGCCTTCATTTGTGTTCATTGGCACAAAACAAGATTGACCTTGAATACAGAAAGGAACAAGCGGTTGATGACCACAAACGGCAAACACCTACAATGTTGCCGCCTGCAACATTGTTAGTGTCATGCAGCAGCAAGCAGCACATATGGCCTCAGTGCGCTTCACTGCACCACACTGCACCACATTGCACTGTCCTATTCTCCACAGTACTGAAGCACAGTAGGCCGGCCATTTCCAGCAAGAAGGTCAAATGCTCATAGACAGTGGCCAATGCAGAACATCAATCTCTAGGCATGCTGCACCTGATGGGCTGCATGTTGCTGGCATTGCCCAATTTGCCAACAACAACATTAATGGCAACAGCGTTTGCGATGGCCATCCAGGTGCAAGGCCTGTGTTGTGTCTTCAGGACACTTGCAATTAAAGAGGAGTTAAAACAATTGGCATCAGAACAGCTGGTTCCAGTTGCGAGTTCCCAACAAAAGTAACCCAGGTGATAGAATGAACCTGATGGGACAAATTCTCCTAGAACCCATGAAGGCCCTTGCTTGTGACAAGCTTACACAGCTAGCTGCCTGCATGCACTAGGCTGGTGTCTGTGAACATTGGGCATTGTTGCAGCCCAATGGTTAGTTGTGGACTGCAGTGGACACAGAAAATGGATTTCATCTTCATCGTGCACATCGCTTGGGATGGCGTTCCCCATCTGGGAGCACACGAGTATGAACAGTGATGGTGAAATTTGGTGAAATTAATTGGTGGGGATTTGACATCTAAACTTGCACAATGTGCTACAATGCACAGCAGCGGCGCCGTCCAGCATCGCCTGATAGGCGAAATAGCACTGCTCTGTCCTTGTTTTCGACACATGCAAACAGCATCGTTGGGCATGCGCTGGTGCGGAATGATTGGTGGCACCCGCACTCCTTGAGAGACCATCATGAAAGTCACCAGCTGGGATACATCAGCAGAGCCCCTCGGCGGAACCCACCTTTGTATTCCATGCCCCACTTCAACTTCACGATCACCGTCTTCCCTGTGAGGTCATTCAAGAAGGGCTTGGGGTTCACTGGTACGGTCTGGCACACCAGACGCAACATGGGGACATCAGCCAAGAAGCGGACACCAATCCGGGCGGAAGAAGCCAGTCAGTCGCCTCTTGCACAGCAAGATGACAATGCACTCCCACAGTCTGAGACAGGACACGGACAGCAGCCACAGCAGCCACAGGACGCCAATGCGGACATCAAGAAAGACGAAATCAGGCGTGGGGACGACGATCATGTGTTCCCCGTGTCACCAGAGGGCACCGTGCTGCTGTCCGCCGTGGCAATTCCAGGGAATCTGAGGGACGTTCCCGTCCAGTGCGACGCCTGCCTCCTCAAAATTGCCCGCTTCCATCCCTCAATCATCCACTCTCTGCCTCTCCGGCCGCCAAACTCACCGCACTCATCTGCGCGAATCCGCAGCCCCGACGCCCGGCGGCGGCTCTCTTCCTGGAGGGAGCGCGGCGGCTACCTTCGCCGAGCGGGCCGCCAATTCGCCAGAGCGGGGACGACGCTGGGAAGACCTCGGAAGCCGGTCAGCCGACCAGCACACGGCACACGAGCGTCCTGTACTCGTGACTCGCGTACTCGGCTGATGGGGGCTTTATAGGTCATCACAACACCCCACCCAGTTGGCTGACTGTTGCTGTTGCCCATCCCGGCGCTTTGGCCCCAGCGCTGAACAGCGCCGCCCACGTGGCGGCCCGCTGGCCCCGCCCCAGATATTACTCCCCCACCCGGCCAAAAAGACGTCCAAGGCGTCGGCGCCAGTACTATGCGCCACCCCTGGGCACAAAGCCCGCGAGGTGGCAGGGAACATTCGGGGCACCCCTGCCAGATTCCCGGCCGAGGCTGGCGGGGCCGGCCCCACAAGGCGCTGGGGCTGGCCGAAAGCGCGCCCGCCGTATCGCCTGATCTGGGCCTCGCCGCGCCGCCCCCGGCCACGCCCGCTTTTCGGCCTCGCTTGTGCATTGGGGGGGGGAGAGGTGCAAACTGATTGCGCGGCGTCGCCATGGGCCCGCGGGGCAACGGGAGGGCGGACCGCGATGAGCGCCTCACGGCCTTTGAGCACACCCACCTGGGGGTGTACTTCGTGGGGTGCTTCTCCGCGGTGTGCCTGTTCACGGACAGCAGCCAGGTGGGGGGGGTGGGGACGACCGCGCGGGGACCGCCCGCGGCGACCGTTAGGGGCCGCGCGGATTGCCCGCGGGCCTTCTGGGGGGCCCTGCCGGCCGGGGATTGCTGCCCCACGGCATTAACCGCCGGCGGGTTGCCGTTGAGCTGCGCATGCGCATTGTCTTGCGCTGTGTCGCGCTCCGTTGTCGCGCACGTCGGCGCTTGCGATCGTCGGGCGATGTTTCCTCGCCTCTTTCGAGCGGCGCAGCAGCGGGCGGGATGGCGGCGGATGCGGGGCATTAAGGGACGCTGGCGCACCCATGGCGCCGTGGGCCTGCACGGTGTTGAATCATCCGTCGCAGGGGGGTTTGGCGGGATTGCGACAATCTGGCGCCGGTGCGCCCAACATCGCGCGGCTCTGGTATCTCTTTGCCACGACTGACGCGGTCGCCGGGGTCGCTGCTGAACAGGGGATAATGGAGAAATACAGCATCAACAAGAAGTGGTTCCTGCTGTTCGGTAAGCAGTCGCCGGCGTCAGCCTCTGGTCAGACTACCTCGGATGTGGGCCGCCCTGCCGTCCTTGCACCTGTGGGAACTTTCGTGGTGTTGTGCCTCCAAACGTGTACTCGGCATTCCCATGCTGTGTGGCTCGGCAGGGCCGGATCCCGCCCAGCCAGCGCGCCCCTCTCCTAGTTGCCGACTACCTGGGACAATTGTTTCTGACTGTGCGCGGGGTGTGCACTGTGCCAGCGGCCCCTTGTGGGACGTGCTGGCTCCCAGGATGACGGGGTACTTGCGTGTCCAATATGCTCTATTCGTTCATCAAACCTGGGCTGCCTGTTGCGGTCGGCAGAAGCTGGAATCAAAGTTCGTAGGTGAAAACATAGCGACATCAGCGTGAGGTCCACTGTGTTTCTCGCAGCTGTGATATGCCCTCGTTGAGTGAGGCCACCTCCTGCTGAGTGAGATTCCTGTGTTTTTTCCAGGCTTCCTGTGCTTTTTTGCATACTTGTACATCCAACCACTTATCCGTAGAAGAATTGGGTCGGCTGCAAGGTAGGGACAAGGGGACTCACACTTGTCTTGCGCATACTGTTGATTCAGAACTTGGGTGACAAGTTCATTTAACAAGTTGCGCGCTAATTGTGCTTGCTTGCTACATGTGCCATTGCTTTGGGTGTGGCTCTTTGTTGTGCTGAAAGGTGTTCTCAGCAGTCAACCTAGCCTCGGCAGGCCTGTGACACGTTTCGACTGCGAAACCAGGCAGATCGCTGCATCCAGAGTGTACAATGCACATGATTTGATGCACGAAAATTTCCCTTGTGTGTGAAGCGGCTGGTTTGCGTACGATTCCATTGTAAACGGAGTGGTCACAACACAGCAAGTAAAGTCCCTTCACCATGCTGGCGCTTGCCGCTATCATCGCGCAGTCCAGCCTTCCATACGCTCCAGTTCCCAACAATGTTACTTAGTGAGCAGCATCAATATTTAAACAGCAAGAAATGCCTTCAAGTCTGAAAACAGAAGTTAAAGGAAGTGCAAAGCCTGAATAACGTTCGAACGAAAAGTTAGAGTGTTAAATTCGTTTTGACTTTAACAATAGTATTCCCCAGACGTCCGCAACCCGATCTGGCCTCAAGGGCGGCGTCCAGCAGTAGCCAGGAAAGGAACATTAGTTCTAGTGATTAGGTGAGATATTGATTTAATCTGATTTTGAACTATAAGAGACCGTTTTAGAAACTAGGAGGGGCTTTTATCACCATTCGACAAATGGAATCAAGAGGATTAGCACACACACATTCACACACACACGCACGTGCCTTGAATCCCCTTTTGTTGATGTTGTCCCTTAGGTCATAGCTGCCCTGCATTTTCTTCATCGACTGGGTGTGGCCACAAAAATGATCTCTCCTTTTCTGCTGGCCAAAGACATGGACTTGCGACAGGTGCTGTCGGCCATGTTCCTGAATGCCATGTCTCTAGCAGTGGCTTGCAGGTGGGTGTTCCCTCCCTCTCACTCCTGATGTGTTTATGGTACCTAGGCTGTGCTAATGTGCCCAGATCGCATGAAGAGAGGCATTGTTTGTTATTGCAATGTTTGGGGCTATGTATGTTGGAATAACAGAATGTTGGGCTGGTTTTGTGCGTGCAACTGTAGCATGAGGAGAAAGTAGGGACAAATCGTTGTACGATCTTCAGGTAATCAGTTCATCAGTCAATTGTACAGAACTGCATATCAAGGCCAGGAGGTCATGAGCCCCCTGTTTGTATCAAAAGAGCTGTGCAGCGATTTCTTGCACAAGACACCTGAGGTGCTGCAGCGATGGCTTAAATCAATATACTGTCTATTGAATGTGGCAAGCAGGAAAGATTTTCTTTGCACACCTACTGTTGGAGTTCGTACTCCAGGCGAACAGAAAGTTCCTAAGGGAATATGCTGATGGCTCTGCAGTACAGCATATTGATCTTAGGTGGATGTCTCAGTTTCTTTCTCAATTTAGTCAAAGGCGTTGCAGTTGGTCTGCTGGCATTCTCCCTAGCATGTTCGTATATTTCATTGCCATCCACTGTAACATCGACAAGTGCAGTGGAGCAGTGTTGGCCTCGACAAATGTCCTGAAGGTCAACTGATGTGGTGCCTCTATTCACTGTGTTGCACTGCATTCATGAAATTGCAGCAGCAGTACGATGTTGAACTGAACAGCATAGCAAATTGAGGAACACAGCATCAGAGCACAAAATGAAAACGATGGCCCATCAACAGACGTTTGTATTGAATGAGCTTGCCGTTTGGCAACAAAGAATCAACAAATAGGTTATGATAACATAGTGTTGAGCAGTGATTGTGTGCAATTGCTATGTTCAGATAGATAGCTGAGCAGCGCATGTATTGTGTGTTGGTTTGTAAGCTACAAATTGATGCCAAATGCAACAGTGCATGCTGACGAACCCTGTGTGTCCATCAGTACATATTACAGCTTCTGTGGAAATGCTGCCACTGATGATCTTCGGGGTAATCAATATGCACGGGGGACTGACAACTCCTGGGACATAAAGCAAAGGATGTGCAAGAAGTGGCTGCACCCTGTGGCTTCAGAAGACTTCCCACTCTTCAAACAATGGGTGATCTATGGTGAGTGTGTGAGGGGTGGAAGTGTTGGGACGCCACTTTCGCCCAACGAATGCCAGCAGCTTGGCCATGTGGATCCCCTGGCAACACCACAAAGGGGCTCCTGACTGTAAGTTTTGGATGCAGTGCATGAAGAGCACAAGTGTGTTGCTGTACACTTCTGGTGTGGTCAGATTCCTGGCGACTCATTACTTGCTTCCTTGTGAGCTGTGTTTTTCAGAGGAAGCCAGTTTTGCAATAGTGCTTCCTGTTTTTCCCAGGTGAGGGGTCTTATGAGGGCAATTCCAATGGCACCATCCAGATAGACTTCCCATTGGATGGCCGTGGCTACATTCCAGTACCTGCAGAGAAGATGATATCCCCTGTCTTCACTCTATGGATCACACTTTTCACAATGTACCTTGGTGAGTGCCCTTAACTCCCTCAAGCTGGTCACAATCTTGCTGTGACAGTGCAGACATCGATGCTGTGCCTTTTTTCTCCTGTGATGCCTTTGTAAAATCCCAACACTTCGTCACTTGCCACAAAAGTGGCCCCAAGACTCCATCCACTGTCGCTATTGTGACATTGTTGCTGCCAACCAAATTGTGTTTTGTTGGCCACTTTCAATGCCTAGAGGCAGGCACCCACCGTGCTCAGTGAAACAGGAGAGTGAGAGGTACCCTCATACCGGCACTTACACACCATCTTTTGTACAAGAACCACTATCGTTTGTCATGAATTCAGTGCCTCTAAAGACAACCACAGCAGGTCAGAATTGGTCATTGCTTGTTTCATCGGCTCCCCCAGCATTGATTGAGTTCATTTCAAGAGGCCTGTGCTGCTTTTACACAATGCAGAGACATGGTCTACTCATGCAAGGATATTTTTTCGAGACTGAAAGCACACTGCCTGATTGATCTGCTCACCTTTGGAGACCATGGCTTTGTCAAGGATTGTAGAAATCACAGATCATGGCTGCTCATGACGAGGAATGCACAGACTGTGTGTGTGCTATTTTGCAGTGAATTGTATTGCAGATCATGTGGCAGTCCAGACGATGTGCAAGGCACAGGATGTGCGCACCCTGAGAGGCAAGCTGCCTGAGCCAGTCATGTGTGGCCTGCAGTCTGGAAAAGGTGCCATGGTGAGCATGGAATTGTTGTTGGTTGCAAGCCGTGTGTTTCGTTGCAATCAGGCCTTTTGGGACATTGTACAATAATGTCATGTGCTGCATGCATATCACATCAGTGTATCTGCAGAAGAATGTACTGTATGACAACAGTCAGACCCTCCAACTAGTTTCAGAGATGCCATGGGCCATACACCCTATGCACTGAAATCAGACCTCTGCAATCGTGGCAGGCAGCAGCCTTGCTGTTTCTGGTGGTGCTGTCTCTGTGTGGTACTAAGCGAGGTATCTGGTTCTCAAACAAGTACCGTGGATGGAGAATTAACCATCTTGTTCTTGAAAGTGCAGAGGGGCTTTGCAGAATTGGTGATTTTAATCCCACAGAAGGCATAAGCAAGATCCTTGACCGTGTTGGTTTGCAGGAGTACTCAAGGACGTCTGGGCTGCTGCGGACTGTGTCAAGCTTCAAGAACTTGACGAGCCTGGCACGCACACGCAATGTGAATAGGGAGACACGCACTGGTTTCCTCCCCATGGTTCCATGGTACTGCGGGACATCTGCTGACCTGGTGAAAGTCTTCATCGACCTCGCGGTGTCTTTGAAACTGTTCCTTGGGCGCTTTGACATGAGGACCATGCAGGCGAGTCGATGGTGTGTGCATGTACAACGCCACAGCGGGGTTCCCCTTTTGCTTTCCACTCTTTGGTGTGCTTCGACAACACTGGCCTTATTCAAGGGTTGACATTGTTTGCCATCCAACAAAGGCGGATCAGAACGTTTTCTAATGCTGCATGAACGTGCACTGGTGTACACTCAGGCCGGGGAGCAGCAAAGGTTGTACTGGCCACATGGTGAGCTGCAGAACACGTCTAACAACAGAATGGTTGAAACCACCTTGTCGCACTGAGGGGGCGTTCCTTTGACTGCTGTGGTTGATCCACATGATTGCATTGGTCAAAATACACTGAACACTGCCCGGCGACGGGGTGCATAATGATTCCATAAATTTCTCTGCAACATTCTAGTTCTCAATGAATGATGGCTCATCTCGTTGCCCTCAAAATTCCAGAAAATCACCCTTGAAGGGAATGATAATTGGGTGTTCAATGCAGCAGAAGACGACAGTGATTTGCGTCTCTTTCGCTGCTTGGCAGGCTGCCACATCACCATCTTGGTGCGACCGACCCCACCATGGGGATGGCTTCACATATGAACAATTCGACGACCAAGAGGAGCTGTTCTTCGACTTCTGTGCCGACACTGGGGATGGGGGAAACTCGACCTACACAGTTGCCAGGGCACTTGCTGCGCCGACGATCACAGCAACGCAAGGAGCAGAGGCCGATGGCACCCAGAAGGTGGGTATAATGCGAATTCATTTTGAACTCGGAGACTGGCATATCGTTTTTTCCAATGTGAAAAAGATTGCAACAACGTAGGTGTGTCCCAAGGGATCGCACATACTAAATGCTTCGGCAAATGTTTCACAGGGTGGTGTAGGTTTCATGGTTGGCACGTTGATGCTGGCCAGACAGTCTTGCTTGAATGCACATTTGGGAGCCACTGATGTAGTGCTTTGCATTTGCCTTATGGCTGAGCACTTGCTGTATCATGCCATCACGCCATCCTTATTCAACAATCTGGTATTGAACGTTGAAGAGCGAACGGAGAGTTATGAATGTTGGTTGTTGAGTGGCATGAGAACAATGCAAGAGCCCTTTTCTGGGTCTGTATCAAAGCAGGGCAGGGTTTGAATGCTGTCATGCCAATGCAAATTCATCCTGATTGCAAGTCTCCAATGGTTGCCGGTTACTTGCCTTGCATCTGCCAGTCAATTGTTCAACGCTGGTCACTTGCAGAAGCAGTTCCCTGGGCGTTTGTCTTCTTCCCTATTTCCTAGCAGCTTTGCAAGACGTGTGTGTGGCATGTTGAACAGACGATTTCCTTGCCACGAGGCAGCCTCCTCTTGATTGGGGGCGACCTTGCATACCCTGGCCCATCTCAGGAGACATATGAGCAGCGGTTGTTCCGGCCTTTTCAGGCTGCCCTGCCAGGCCCACCACAAGATGCGCCTGGGAGGCTGGTGGTGCACAAGCCCGATCTGCCTCAGGGTACGAGGCTGATGTGGCATCGTAATATCACACTGCCTGGACCTCCGTTTCTTTCAAGCTCAGACTGGGGAATATGTGACCCATGTTGCTTGATATATCCCTACGTTGTGGCAGAGTGTTGCTGGTGGCCTGGGGCATCTGCTAAAGCACCAGAAGTCTCCTTCAGTTGGGGCAATGGGGCCAAGTCGAATTATATCATGTTGCAGTCACCACGTTCCCTTGAAAGCAAGAATTGCTGTATGTTACCAACGTTGTCGCATGAGCTCCCCCAGTATTGGCCACCTACAGCGGCCCAAGCAGATGCGCCTCCCCTTGGAGACCATTGTTGGTGGCAACACATGGGCAGTAAACAGAACTACAGTACTGTAATTTCAACCCCCACCCCCACTAATGCAGTATGTCAGAATTCTGTCACACCACACTGCATTCTGCGCCAAACGTGCCTGAAGTCACCATCCCCCCCTGCAGGTGAGCACTGCTGCATAGACTCCCCACATCGTTGCTCTGCGAGCCCCTCCCACTCCAGCCTTCGTCAGCTGCGCCAGTATGATGGGCCCCAGTGCTTTGCGATCCCTGGGAATCACGACTGGAGTGACGGCCTGCAGACCTTCATAAGGGACATCCTGCACAGAGGGTGGCTGGGTGGCTGGCTGTTGCCCCAAGAGAAGAGCTACTTTGCACTGAAGCTGCCACATGGCTGGTGGATGTTTGGAGTGGACTTGGCTCTGGAATGTGACATAGACATGTGCCAATACAGGTACATCAGCGATTCGTTTTCACTGATAAGAAAGTGATGGTCACATTGTAGGTAACGTTTTGCTGCCAAGAACATCTTTAGCTCTGTTCCCTGCAAGGAGTTATTACAGACATGCAACTGGAAAGGACACAATGCAGATGTACTAGTGCATTCAACTTCTTGAGTTCCCTGAACCTCCTGAGAATAAGGATATGAAGAACTGGATGTCTGTATGCCTGAAATAAGCAGTTGTCAACAAGATGGGTGATCCCATACGTTCTCATGGTGCCATATCGTCACAATCTTATTGCAGCAATATGCACCGTTGCTTTGTATTTGTCATGGTGTGTAGCAGATGGCTGAGTACTGGGGCCGTGTGCTTCAAGTTGCTCCCTGAACACTGGTTGCCACAGTTTGTGGTAGTTGCCCAGCTCTTGCTCCCAGCTTCATTGTCACTGTCTCTTGCCAACAATGTTCCTTCCAGGCTAGTCTGAATTAACCAGTGATACTGGGTCATCATCTGAACACTCTCAGTGCGCTAGAAAGTTTATCCATCCTACTTGTCCAAGGCCATCCAATCCTGATGTTCAGGGGCCGATGATCGGAACTGAACACTTCTCAAGGCTCTTCCTGTTTGGTTTGTTTCCTGTTCTGATTGAGCTGTCTGTGTGCAACCAGGTATTTCACAAGGGTTATTGAGCAGTGCCTGGGAGCCGACTCTCAAGTCATCGTCATGAGTCATCAGCCCATTTGGTTCGAGAACTGGTTTATGTGCCAGCCAGACAGGGCGGCCCCAAAGCTGAAGCAGCTCATCAGGGAGCAGCTGCATGGGCGGGCCCGAGTCCACCTTGCTGGTGACCTCCACTTCTTCATGCGTCACAGTCTGGTGCCAGTGAAGACAAGCTCCCAAAGCTTGGCCCAGAATGGGCGAAATGGCTCCAACAGGACAAATAGCATGGAACAGAGCACTGCAATGCCATCCTGTGGTACCACAGGCCCAAGAGAGAAAAAAAATGGCAAAGGCAAGCCCAGTGCGACCTGTGTTAATGGACAGGGAGGATTCCGAAATCCAAGAAGCAATGGCTATGAAAACGAAAAAATGGAAGAGAATGGGCGTTCAAAGTGCAGGAATGGGATTATGCACCGGGCGTCATTGCCTAAATGCTTGTCAGACGAAT